GGAAGGGTGTTCCCCCCCGGGGGGGAGAGAAGCCCGAGCCTGGAACCTCACTAAGACAGCAGGTGACACGGTAACTTCTCACCACGGTGCCCACTGGCCCCTCCCAGTGACCGCCACTAGGGCAGCCCGGTAGCGTCAGCGATCGGGAGAGCAGCCCAGTGCCAGGCCGGCATCCTGGCATCCCGGAGCCACCTACCTGTATCTCTGCTTCACCGACTGTTTCTCTGCCGACTTGCAGATGTGGCCCGCGTAGTACAACGGGAAGAATAAAAAGTTCCAGTTGGTGGCAAACCACGTCAGGGTGAAGGGAGCATCGAACTTCCTGAAGGTCAGCTTGGCGAGCTGAGTGGCACCGGCCCAGGAGGAACACACACACAGCACCACCGCCACGCCCCAGAAGATCTTCTTGAGCTGCGCCTGGGAACATCTCCAGCAGCGAGGGCTCGGCCTCCCGCCCGTGTCGGTCCCCACCGGCGCCTGGGCCTCTGCCGGACCCGGGGGCTCCCGGGGGCGCTCCTCCCCTGGGGGAAGAGAGGGGCACGGTTAACCGGGGCCTCCACACGTCCACCGTGGCCAGGAGCAAGAGAGCAACCAACTGTCATTGTCATGGCCAGCCACCCGGGGGAGGGGAGGGGAGGCGGGGATAGGGGCGTGGACACAGCTTCCTGAAACAAAACTTAAAGACATTTTCAGTGGTTTCCGTCTCCTCTAGAATCTTGACCCTCAAAAGATGGTGCATGGCTGGCAGCATCAGGACCATCCCCAGCCTGTTGGCAATGGAGAATCTCAGGAACCCTGGCATCAGAATCTTTACTTCGAGAGGTGCTCTCTGGGCCCATCTGGAGAAGTGGAAGCATTTCTCCAGAACACAGAGAGTGGCTGAAATAGTTCACCAAGTGTCAGCTCACATGGAGTGATGTGCTACCCAGCCTGGGCAGTGCTAGGGGCTGTGGATTCCCCCCTGAGGAGGTCATAGGTCTTGACCTCTAAAAGCTCCCAGGACACTGAGAGAAGCTCCTCCCTGCCTGTTACTTAAAGGCAGGGATGCCAAGAGTCTCATCTTCTTTTGCATGGAGAGCCAAAAAAGATCTGTCTCTCTTATTTCTCTGTTTGCTCTTACTGACTTCCAGCTGATGGCCGTCAGTCCCACTTTGAAGAGTTACTTAAAAACCACAGCCTCTGGCAGCTGGTGCTGTGAAAGGCCTCAGAAGCTCCATTTGAGAATTGTGTGACTCCTGGAAACCAGGCTGCAGGCCAGAGCACGGTTGTGCAGCAGCATTGTTCCCACAGACCATGAGAAGGGTGGAAAAGGCGTTATTTTCCACTGTTTGGTTTTCATTCATGATTGTGTGCAGGTCAGTCAGCTGGAAATTTAAACAGAGCTGTAACTTGTATCAGATGTGACCATGGATGGATGTGAATTTCCAGGGGACAGCCTACTTGCCTTTTATATGTTTAGCCAGGCACTTGGCTGAATGAGGGCACACAGTATAGGGGGTACAGGAGATGAGTACAAAATATAATGGCGTCAAATGTACTCTATGGATTTTGTTTAAACTTAGCAGTAACTTAAATAGCTCTAATACCATGAAACCAAGTTTTGTACATCATACTGTCTGAAATATAATAATCCTATGAGGAAAAAATCCTGATTCAAGGTAGTCTATTATATAGGGATTAGCTATTCCTATCATTAATTGCCAGGTCTGGTTTTATCTCTTTTCTTTTTTTTTTTTTCTTTTTTTTTTGCCTCACCTCGTGGCTTGTGGGATCTTAGTTCCCCGACCAGGGATCAAACCCGGCCTTTGGCAGTGAAAGCACCAAGTCCCGACCACTAGACCACCAGGGAATTCCCTGGTTGTATCTCTTTTAGCCAAAGGTCATCCTAAGCCTTCGTGGCTGGTCAAGGAGAGATAATATGTTTACTGACCCCAAATCCTTGACCCCATCTGTACTGTGCTTCTTTACCTGCTTTATTAATATTTAATCTCCCTCTTCCTTTTTCTTTTCACGTGTGTATATACCTGAGTCAGAAAGCCCTTGGAAAACCAAATGGCTGACCACCTCTGAACTTCCAACAAGTTGTCTGTTTCTGGCATGGGCTGCAGGGCAGGGAGAAGCAGAGGGGGCAAAGGCAAGGCAGATTCCTCCCCTTTTGTTTGATGCCCTCCCGCCAGGACGTCTTGATTTTGTTCACAAGGAATCCCTACAACTTACGGCAAATTCATTTTCAGACAGAAGCATGCACGTTTCAATTTATACACTGGTTCTCTGACATCTGGGGTGAACCTCTGCAACCCTTCACTACTGGGATAATTTTCAAGCAGTGCTGCGGGCTGGCAGATTCCTCGACTACCAGCATCAACTATCAGAAAGTCCTACTGAAAAGATAATTACGGAGATGAAAAAAAAAGTCCACCTAGAAAGGCAATGCAGTTTCACAGTACTAACTGGCCATTTAAGAAGGGAGTCTGGAGGAGGCTGAAAAAAATTCAGGCTCACAGCGTGTTTTTTTCAACTAGTTTTGCATTACGGCAGATTAAGTTTTAAGTTTTAAAACTTAAAGGATGAAGCGAAGACTGATGCTATGTTGCTGTTACAACGAAAGAGAAAAATCACCAAATCATGTAAGACTGTACTGCTAAAATGCTTTTACAGATTTGGATAAAAGAAGTTATTCTCTAACTTTGTAACCTCTCTGGCTTATTTGACCAGGGGAATACTGATAATACACAAACAAAATAAAGACATTTTGCGCTCTATTATTTAAAAATAAGATAGAACGATGGTTCCCAAAGTGTAATGCAGTTAACAGGTACTATAAGAAAAAAAGGACCCCACAATCAGAAAAGCTTGGGAAGCACCAGGTAAGTCAGACAGGTTCCTTTGCTGTAGGAGTATTCAGGGCTAATGGATGTGGTGGATTTCCAAAAGGCAGCTAGAGAATGTGTGCTTCTCATATTATCTAAATGTAACACCTGTGATAGGACTGGGGTCCCTTGGAACACACTTTGGGAAACACTGGAATAGACCCATAAAGAATCAGAGGTATCCAAACCTAATTCATTGCAAACTTTCCGTTTCACCACACCGAGTCTCTTATAGTAATAATCACTTATCAATTTCAATACCCGCTCATTCCTAATAATTCTTTTAAAGTAGACCTACTTCATGTAAACTAAAAATATTGTTTACAGAATCTTTAGAAAAGTACTGCATAGAATAAATAAAAAGCAATGCACTGTATACTAATCTTAGTACCCAGAGATATCGCTGGACATTTTGCTGTACTTTTCCCAGTCTTTTGTATCTTTGCACGACACACACACACACACACACACACACACAGCAAAACTGGGATCATACTGTATTTTCGGCCAGCAGTCATTTACCCTGATGTGTAAGAGCATGGACTTTATAAATCTCACAGGGCTCTGTATAGTATAACGCATACCTAGGAGCATTTCAATCCGCTAGGAAGTTGCCATGAAGTCTCCATCTGCCATGTGCCAAGAACTCTGGGCGGTCAATAAATAAATATAAAACATGATTACGTCCTGCTCTTCAGGAACTTACAGTCTATCTGGGAGTGACAAAATGGATCTATGAAAGAATTACAGAACTACAAATGGAGTGATTTGACTGTAACACAAATTCTGAAGACAGCGCAACCGGCGTGGGCTGTGATCACAGCAGGAAGAGCCGGAGAAAGCAGAAGCTTGGCCTGGGCCTTGCAGCATAGAAAGGCTGAGGAACAAGAGAAGCAAAGTTCAGGGTCAGGAACATGCCTGGTCTGCCCCAGGAGCGGTGAGGAAGGTGGTGAGATCTGAAATCCACCGCTTCCTTGGCCCACTGTGATGCTCAATCTTGCTTTGGTCAGACACGCAGTAGGAGAAATTGCCAGGCTGGTGGAAGGGACCCCAGCAAATTCAGATTTTGGAATTTACCTTCTCTAGGAAGTAAATATACATTATACATGCCCCAGTGTCCATAACAAACAGATAAAATTAGTTGAAGCATAGGTATAGAATGACATAATGAATTTGGTTAGCAGACGCGTTTATTCTCCGCGATTTGAAACGCAACAAATGCATCCCACCCTACCACTCTCAAGGTCATTTTCAACAAGCTGTCCAACTGATGCTCAGATTTCAGAGAGAAGGAATTACACTGGGGTGGGGGGGGCCGGGGGGGGCGTGGAATATCCACTCTCAAAAGCCTCTCATATCTTCCCGTGCAAGAAACTTTGGTTTACTTTCTCTCCCCTCCTAAATTAACAAGTCGAGGGATTCCTCTGTGCTTGGTATCTCTCTTGTATCACCCCTGAAAGAGGGAGTACAGAGTGCCTCGAAGAAATCAGTACTGAATGAGCCTCACGCTGTGTCCTGTCCCAGCTCCTCTGACTCTTATCACACAACTAGAAATACTGTTTATGTCACCCTCACTCACTAACATCCCCTCCCCACTAACAACCCCTCTATTTATAAGCTTGAACTTTCCATCTTAACCTTGCACTTGAGTCAAGAGTCCTGGGCTCAGTGCAAAGTAGATTATATTCTCTGGCCCAATGGTTGTGCCGACAGATGCGGTCACTGCTGCCTCTAAACGCTTAGTTTACACCACTTAATTCACTCGGAAGCGCTGGGGGACAGGCGGGCTCTCCCCAGTTCTGTTTACCAGAGCTGCCTCCACTGAGCATTTTGGAGAAAGGGCTGTGTGTGTGTGTGTGTGTGTGTGTGTGTGTGTGTGTGTGTGTGTAAGGGGAGTGTTCTCCAGTATACAATGTATACTCCACGGCGTGCCAAGATATAACCGTACCTGTGTGTGAACTTCCATCCTGAGCTCTGTTCAGAGTCAGGCAATTTACTGAAACCATATATTAGTCCTACCTGCAGAGTCACACCTGATACTCCTCTCCTACCAGGAATTTATAAAACATATGCACTCTCCGGTCAAGCAGTACCTAGAGGCAATGTCTGCTCAGCGGAAAGAAACTCTAGGTGCTAATGGGTGAGCTGGAGGTCTGGTTTAGCCACTAACTCATTCTGGGACCCAGGCAAGTCCTCTTGTCTCACCAGCTGTCCATTGCTTTCTGCTGAGCAAATGATGAACTGGGGGCTTTTTAAGTTTATTTAGTGAAAGCCATTTCTCCAATGAGAAAGCTAGAACAATTGGAAAAATCACTCCCTCTCAACTTCAATTTCCCATAAAATGGCTCTTGCAAACTTCCAAGAGAACACAAGTGTTTCTTTTTTGAGGTCCCCTGAGAATAGGGAGACCCTTGGTGACGCTCTCTGAAGAAGTGTCCAGGAAGTTTTTTTTTTTTTTTTTTTT